TGTATATATATTATATATATGTGTATATATACAATAACTTCTTTAATGGATAAGAATATTTGGATGTTAATAATATATTATATTTGAGGGATTTGAGACTAGATTAACCTGAGTCATATGCAATGATAATAGAAATCTCAACACTATTTTACTATTCCTACACTATGATGAGTCATTATATAACAGGAAATGTCTGTGTCTTCTACAAAATTCCTGTTACAGCAAAGGCTTATCTCCCCAATGTCTTTTTGCCCTTCAGAATGACTCAGAAGTCCCAGGACTGTTCGGGTCAGGCCAGGCCCACTTATCAGACTGAAAAACACCTAATACACTAAGAGTTTGGGTTGTAGCAAATAGCTTTTTTTAAAAAAAAAAAAGTAATTAGTTATTTGATTTCTCTTGGGAAGAAAACTGGTTTCTTTCCAATTAATTAAAAAATATATAGAGGTAAAGAAGAAATTACCTTTAACTCAGAAACGATGACAACAGTCGTGATGCAGTTCACAAAGAGGAAAGAGCCTTACTGCTCTTGTACCTCCAGGAAGTTTCCATGTTTTTCTTCTTAAGTCACTTTCAAGAGAAAACACATTTCCCATTTGATTGAGGAGAATGCCAAATGCTGATGGAACTATAAATTTTAGTGGGTAAGATTACTGCGCTCAAAGGACAGTGCCCAAGTATTGCCTACTGTTGCTCATTCTTCATCAATGCAGTGAACAGAGCTAGACAAGACCCGCCATCAACATGGACCACGACTACAGCCCTCTTAATACAATTCTATCCTACCGTCTTCCAGGGAGGTAACTTTTCAAGAAATTTCTATGTGTATTAGTCATCTATATTTCTCTTTTTCCCCACAAGTAAGCCCGATGGTTCCAGTATTGAAATTTGAATAAAGGAATACACAGACTTACTTGACCCTTATCCATGAGTCACCTACACCTCCAACCTAGAAGTAGGCATTGAAGTTCTCAGTACTTGAGTAGCTTTTGAATATAAGGCTTTGATTCCAATTCAGCAACTCTTCCTTGTAAATAGCTCCCTTAGATTCTTGCATTGAGGGAGGGGGCTGGAAGGAAGGTATAGTAGTGGTTAAAGGTGATTGGCAGAGTAAGATTCAGGCATCACTTAGTTTTAGGCCAGGAAGCTATCATTTTGTCGTCAAAAACCCCACAGAGACATCCCTTATGCTGCATTGTCATCAAATGTTTCCCTAATAATCAGAATCCAATGCAGGTCTCAGATCTTATTGCCTCAATTTTTTCTAATTTTTTTTTCTGTTGACATCCAGAGAGAACTGAGTTTGTAAAGGTGAGGTAAAGCCTTTAAATAGGCAGAAGTTTTTTTTTTTTTCCTCCCTTTTTCAGTATCTTGACACTATCACTAGCCCAGTGATATTTAAAATGCCTTTTCTTATCTTCAGAGAGAACTGGGTCTCAACAGAAGTAATTCCTTCAATACAAGCATCCTTAACATATGAAATGTGTCTACATATCTCTGAATTTTATATTACTTCATAATAGACATAGGAAAGCACCCCGACTGGCTCTCTGGTCAAATTAATTCTTAATTTGACACTCTTTTTATTGACTAAGAAACAGTTGAGGATTTTAGTGCCATGAGCTAAATTTCTTCTGGATTTCTCTCAAAATCCACAACGAAAGAATGAGTATTGATTGCTCTTCCCTTCATCTCTCTTCAGATCGCAGCTTTATCTTTTTACACATGTGAAGCTTTACTAGATGAGGCCTTTACTAGCATTTAGCATCAATAGCTGTCTGCAACCAATTTGAGTTTCCAATCTATCCAACTCTTTTGCAGAATATGAGTCTTAGTGAGTATTCTGATAAAGTTATTAGGTTCTGTGATTTTCTTTTCTTTTTTTTTTATTGAGTTATAGTCAGTTTATAATTTGTGTTGTGGTTTTCTCAATGCATCTATCAGCTAATTTTAATTCAGTTTGTCTTTGTTGTTCTGAATTATTCTTTTTAAAAGGTGTTTTAGAAAGCAAAGAAAGAGACAGACTTTAGAATTATTTACTATCATTAAATTACACTCATCTGTAAGATTATCTCTACAGAATGTTACATGTCTGGATAACAACAACAACAAAAAAAGAAAATGAATTTGTTGTAACTTTGACTATTTAAATTTCTCTGCTTTGAACCTAAGCCATGGTGACCTGTCATTGCAAACCTAGAAGACATCTGGTGTTCATTTGTTGATCTAAAATGTATCATTTATATTAAACCTCAAAGTGAATGTGATTCCAAGAAAATCTTGTAAGGGTAAATTCTGACTATTTCCAAAAGATCAGTAAAGTCATTTCCATGCTACGCAATCTTTACAGGGTTCTTATACTGTCTTCTTGTTTCAATTGAGAAAATTGGGGTTAATCTGATTTTATAAATTGCTTAAATCTATGGATTATAACAAAAATTATATTGAAAATAAACCATCTTTGTAAGACATTGTAATTTAAAGTTGTAGAGAGAATATACTATGAAATATTTGGGGATTTGTCTGGAGAAAAATGTTGACGATACCACTACCTACCTGTTAGAATGCCTACAATTAAAAAAAATATATACTGGCTACCCCAGTATACTGATGAGAATATGGAGCACTTGGAACTCTCATACACTGTTAATGAAAACACAAAATGATCCAGTCACCTGAAAAAGAGCTCTCAATTTTATTATAAAGTTAAATATACACTTACTTCATGACCTAGCAATCTACCTCTGAGTATTTAGAGTAATGAAATCTTACATTCACACAGAAACCTATACATGAATGTTTATAGAAGCTTGATTCATAATTGCCAAAGAACTGGAAACAACCCAAATGGTCTCCAACAGAGGACTGGAAGAGAGAAGATAAGGAAAAGCCGTCATTCTCTGTCATCAGGAGGAGGAAGACACATAGGGGTAAGGGATTTTCCTGAGAATCATCCTCGCTTGGTACTTTAGATGCCCGTAACTAATCAGTAGTATTTTTGTGCAATTCCTGACCTCAGTGGCAGTAGTGACATTCAGATTCTCTGAATGCTGGCCGTTTTCTTGGGAACTAGCAGCTTCCATAGTTTTTTAAGTACATCATTTACTAAAGTAAAGCCCATCCTCCTTGGAATATCTAGAGTGCTTACTGTTTCACTGACTAAATGCTGCTCTGATCAACCATATACTATCTTCATTTTACAAATGTAGATTCAGAGGCACTGGAAGTTTCAAAGTAGAGATGAAGACATGATAGGAATGTAAAGTCAGTCCTTAAGATCATTGTGTATCTCCAGAGTTTCTGTTGCTTTCTGCAGAGAAGCCCTGCTTCCTGATAAGCAGAAGGTGCTTGGGTCCTTAACCATAGCCCTTCGAGCACCATAATATGAGCACTGGGTAAATTTTGCAGGGAAGATACTTATTTACCTCGAGACAAATGGTACCAGACTATATTATGAAAATAAATAACAGAGATGGGCTGTTTTAAGGTGAAATATTGAATGGGGTAATAAATTATTTCTTGCCCCAAACAGAGACATCAATAAGGGTAATTTAGAAAAGATAAAAACTACCAGGAATTATAACCACCTTTGATAGTATCAAAGAGGGCTTGGGAACAAATGGTGGTTCAGGTGATTTTCTGGTGGTTAAGAAGTAAATAGATTATAAGCTAAGCAATAGTGATCTACATGGAGCTGGGAGCTACGGTGGGCAAATATGATAGAAAAGAGTTCAGCTGAGGCACTGAGGCAATGGATAATAGGGACATTTGCAAAATTCAACATATGCCACAGAGTGCTAGGGAAAGCAAGAGGTGCAGAAGGAAATGCTCTGCCAGCTGTCATATATGACTTTAATAATGAGATAGAACCAAAAAAAGTGACAGACTATAAGAATATGTTTTGCAGATTGAGTTCCAAGGGAAATTGAATTTTTATATGCATTTTAGTATTTATTGTGTTTTGTTTTGTTTTCTGCTAAATTAGCATGTCAACAGCATATTGTGGGACGAGTGCTTGTCCCTTACTCAGGTTTTCTCATGAATATACAAACTAAGGGAATTCCTTAAAAAAAAAAAAACTTGAAATTGTATAAAGATTTCTGGAGAAATATATACTTTCCACTATGATTTTGTGAAATCATATTATATCCTCTTAGGGAAGAAACTTGAATTAAAAACATAAATTATTAAAACTCATTAGATTTACATTTTAGAAGCATTCATCATTAGTGACTTTTAAACTATGTACTTTCGTTTCTACACCTACCTTGATGAAGCTGAGTTTAATCTCATTTTATAAAAAGGAAAATAAAATTTTAAAGATTTTAGACATCTAGTCAACTTCTATAAGGCTAGTATGATCAATATGAAAATTATAAATTTTGCATTTTCGTATTAGATTTGTCTTATGTTATATTTCCTAAAAGTTAAGTTCACTTTTTCATATCATTGAATGCACATATTAATAATATAAATATTTTAAAATTTCTTTATACTCAATACTTTTTAAAGATCTGTTTTTATAAAGTACTTGAATATGAAGGTTTGAGAAAATAAATGGAAATACACTAATAGCAATCTGAAATAGCCCTATTTTAAGCCCTGTTGCTATTTGTGGATAACAGATATTTTATTTTGTTTTCACTTTAAAACAAATGTTAGGAAATTCAGTTTAATACCTGTTTTTGAAATATGCTCACAGGCTGTTTTAAATTTTTGAAAGCATATGGCTTTGTCTGCAGATCTAGTTATTCTGGGTTAAAAATATGCAGTATGAGCAGCATGGTTTGGATGCACTCACACGTGAGGCTGTTAGAATACAGACTGTTCATGTTTACAGATTTCTTCACAGACCGCTTGATAGGTGATAACTCTATTAACAGATGAAAAGACCTACAACCAAAAATAACATTCCTGTAGAAATGGATATTTGATTTTACAGAATACAATACCTAGAATACAATGCGAATGGTGCCTCTGTCTCTGAGCTTAACAGCAAAACTGGATATGAGTTAGAGTGAGAGACCAAAAAGTAAAATATTCCATATATTTAGAAATTTAAAATCATATTTATAAGAAATTCAAGAGTCAAAAAAAGTAAAATAGGACATACTTAATATTGAACAGCAATGAAAATACGAGATAGCAAAACTTTCAGGATGAATCTAAATAGTAGTTTAAAGGAAAATTTATAAGCTTCAATGCAGGTATTTAAAAGAAAAATTTTTGAAAGATTGAAAATTATTGACATAATCATTTAATATACAGGTTTAAGAAAGATACACAGAAAATCATATAAAATAGAAATAAAAGGCAAAAAGAATAAAATTTTTAAAGTAGGAAATTTTTTTGAAAAGCTGATCACATAATTTTTGTCAAATTGAGCAAAAACAATAGAAATAAATAAGCTGAGAGAAAATGCACAGATAACAATAACAGCTCGTATTTCACATGCATTGATTGACTCAAGAAACCTAACAGTAGAGAGTTATTATTCTCAATTTACAATTGCCTAAAGTTACAGGTCTGACCAAAGTCACAGGATGAGTCAGGAATTAATTTAGGGCAGTGTATTTCTAGGGTCCTTTTGCTTAACAATTGTGTTGCACTTCATCACTAAATAAACTGCTTTTGTTTCCAGAAATTATATAAGGCAATAATAGGAAACAATTCATGCCAATGAATTCAATTTTTGAACAAAATGGACTCCCATGGCTAGTGAATATAACGACTAATTCTGACTTTCACGAAGAGACGTTTCTCTAAACTGTTCTGGTTTTTCCCTTTCCCTTTCATTCACTTTCTCTAGACAAGTAAGGACGATTTGATTGATAGATATGGGCAGAATAAATGATATACTGTCAACTTGGTTCCTCCCGACTCCTGTGGGTTGTTGACCTGCCAAAAGAGCATGTGTCCCCTCTTCTTGGCCACGTGGGTTCTTGCAGGGAACTGTCTGCCCAGCCTAGAAGGCTCAGCCTGAGTGGATGTACTGACCTTATTCTGAATTTCAATATTAGTTGTTTGTTCCCTCCTCAACTTAATCTTCAAAATCAGCTTCATCAGCAATAAAGCTGATGGTCAACTTTCCATCTGCCTTTATCTCCTGTTTTATTTGTTTAATTTCTTAAGCGCACGGAAGTGTGGAATAGGAAAGAGGAATGTTATGTATTGTCCTCCTCAAATATCAATATCTGGTGCTTGGGAAGATAGCAGGCAGTGGAGTTTTGCAGAGGAACGGTAACATGCAGAGATGAGGTTTCCAGTGGTCAGAACACGTGGCTTTAAGTGTTGGAAACATTGTTCTATTTAAGCCTTTTAGACCTTGGCACTTGCTACAGCCTATGTTGTAGAGTGTAAGGCTTTACCACGTGTGTGGGTGGATTTAAATCAAACCTTGGGTCTTATTTGATTTTCACCCTGGGTCACTGAAGCTTCTGGTGGATGGTAAATTATGATAAGGAACTAGGTCTATCTCCCTCTTTCCTAAGCGCTTCCTTTTTAATGAGCGAAACACAGCTCTGTAGGTGTGTTCCGCTGCTTTCTACTGTGATGTTCAAGGAGTCTGCTCTTGAAAGAGAAGGCTGTGTTTCCCATCACCTCCTGTGACTGGCAGATAAATATTTAACTGTGGCAGTTGTGATTATTAAGTCTTTTACCTGCAATTATAAGCTGTGTCTTTTAAACTAAATTTTATTGATAAAAGAAAGATGATATTTTTAGCTCCCATTTCTCCATTCATTTATTTGATGTATCAGTTCATTCAGAACTCAGGTGTGGAAGAGAACTGATAAGTATTGATCACTTTGAACTCCAACATCTGGTGTATAAGCTAAACTCTTGCGATATGCACAAGGAGTAAAAATGGAAGTTTGTGAAAATATATGCAAACTGAAGCTTCTGACCTGGTTGGGGCAGGAGACTTTAGGCTTTGGTGATAGATTTCTAAAGGTAGGACGGACGTGTGGAATTTCGATCCTGGTTGAGACTGCAGTACATGGCAGTTTTGTCCCCTCCAGGATTTATATCTGGGTACCTCCCAGCAAAGGCACCAGCCTCATGAACAAGCAGGCTGTTTCGCTCTGCCCAGGCCTCAGGGCATAAGAAGATAAAGCTTGACTTTGGGGCACAGCTTTTCCTAAGCAGAAAGGGCTGTGGTGAGCATTCCAGTATAAAGGAAAGATCATCTTTTAGACTGAGTAGAAACTTGTTTGAGACAAAAAGAGTCTCCGATAAAAATTCTTTTCCATTTTACTATATGACTTAGTCAAGTCTGCAAGGAATTGATTAGCGTCAGATGTCAGCAGGCATCTGCTGTAGATTGGCTGTCTGAAGTCCTTTCCCTATTCTGTTTGTCTTCATGGTCTAATTCCCATATTTTGTCCAGTCTCACATGTCATTTGCCACCACAAGATATCAAACTTGTTTTGGATTTGTTAAGTTATAAAAAGCTCTGAGTGTTTCAGAAATCCAATCTATAGCTTTACTCTTAAAAAAAAAAGTAGATTTTATTAATAAGCAAATGAAAAAAGAAGAATGGGGCTTCTTATAGTGAAGAAAGTATGTAACTTATTGACATAATTAAATGATCGCAAACCCGAATGTAAAACAAACAGTGAACAAGGCTTGTACATGAAACGGTCTGTCTCCTAGAATCAAGTTTACCCAGGAAATCAAGGAGAGAGTGGAAGGGGTCTGAAAAACATGTTCACCACCAAAACAGGAGCAGGGAAAAGAATGAAAATAAAGATAAACTAATTTAACTGGAGATAGATTTCTTTAGATGAAAGTCTGATAAAATAAAGTTGGGAAAGGGCAAAATCTCGAAGGGCAATATAGAATTGACATAAAAAGGAAAATAATGTCGACCAGTTTTAATTTCTCTAAGTGGATTTTCAGTATAGTGGTGATTAGTAATTAGTTCACAAGT